TATCTTTTTTGCTGTATATGTATGTATGTACCTATGATAAAGTCTAATTTACAAATTAGGCAGATTAATAATAATAACTAAAAATAAAATTGTATTATTATAATAATATACTATAATAAAATTGCCAGCATCACTACTCTTGTGATTTGGGGCCATTTTTTTTTCCCCTGGTAATGGAAATCAAACTCAGGACCTTGGGCCAGGGATTTATCTCAGCGGTTCCGCCACCTGCCTTGCAAGCTCAAGGACCTGAGTTCAATCCCCGGTACAAAAAAAAAAAAAAAACTCAGGATCTTGTGCTTGCAAAGCAGTTGCAGTACCACTGAGCTAAATAAATCCCTGGCCTTTGGGGCTATTATTAAGTAAGAGTTACTTAAACATAGGCATTGTGATACCATGACTTTAGAACTGATAACTGAAATAGCTACTATGGTACGTGGCAAACAGGCTAGTGGTGAGCCCAGCATGAATAACAATGGACAAAGGGATGATTCATATCCAGGATGGGACATAGCAGGACAGTGTAAGATTTCTCATGCTACTCTAAACAGCACACAGTTTAAAATTTATGAATTGTTTATTCTGGAATTTTCTGTCTAATATTTTTGACTGAAATTGTACGTGAAACCACAGATAATGGAAATACTGTACATGTATCATATATAGAACCTGGGCAATTTATCTTCTCTGCCTCAATTTTTCATCTACAAAATGAAATACTACATGTCTCAAAGGAGTGTTGAGAGGATTAAGTAAATTAATACTTGTAAAATACTTAGGATACTACCTGCCACGTGGTAAGGGTTCAATAAATGTTACCTGCTATTGTTGTTACTTATCAGAAAATTTAATCTCACCTTTTGCATTAACCTGCTGTATGATCTGGGTGAGTCATGGAAGTTTCTGTTTTTTTTTTTTTCTTTTTTACCATTCTTCATAAATATATAAGCTTGAAGTAGATAATCACAAGTATCACTATGACTTTTAAAGGTTTAGCTGGTATTGAAATGTTTCTTAGTTAAGAATGACATTGAGGGCTGGTAATTTAGCTCAGTGGTGCCACTGCCTGCCTCGCAAGCGCAAGGCCCTAAATTTAATCCCTGGTACCAAAAAAAAAAGGGAAAAGAAAAGAGTGACATTGAAACTCTTACACACAATAAGAATCAGTAAGTTATCTGGATATATAAATAAATTATAGGTGCTACTAACCTTATTAGATAGAAATACCAATTAGAATAATTTACATGGATTATATATGGGATTATATACATGGGATTATACATGGAATTATAATGACTTCCCAAAAAAAGATCAATCTGGAATAGAAATTTCATGTATTCGGGGATCAAACTCAGGTCCTTATGCTTGCGAGGCAGGCAGCAGCACCACTGAAATAAATCCCCAGTCCTTCAGTCTGATCTTATTTCCATGGCCTTAATGCTGGATACCCCAAAGTCCGAGGGAACTCTGGTTCCAAACCCAGGAGTACCACATACGGCATCTGTGGGGTATGGACATCCTCAGGAGAAATCCAGATAAAACTTAGAATAGTTATGTGAAGGAAACCAATGGGAGGAAGTGATGCTTTCTAAATGACAGGTTATGAACAGGGCACAGCACACACCGTGGTGTGGCTGTCAGGGGTGTGGCCTCCAAAGAAAGTGGACACAGCACCTCAGCCATCTAGGACATCTAGAAGTGCTTAGTCCCTGGGCCCAGATGATGGCTTCATGGGCAAGTTACAAATTAGAGGTCACTTCTCTGTGATGTCATAAGACCCCCTGCCTGAGGTCACAGGCAGGATGTAAGTCACTCCGCAAGTCACAGAAGTAGGGTTGGAGAAAGCCTGCATAGAGTTTGTAGCAACCGCAACTGCTCAGCCTGTCCTCTCACTACAGCCCAGTGGAGGCTTGGGAGCCACGTGGGACAGTATGCAACACTGTTCACTCTTAACTACAGGAGGACAAAAGGGATCGTATACATTGCAGATTTTATACATAAATATATTTTGTTTGTAACGAGCCATTCTCAATAAACATTCTCACTGCATAGTAGTGGCAGTCCTTGGCAAAAAAAAGAAATTTCATGTATTGATATAAGGTTAGCATCTAAAACAATATAATAGAAACTCAACAGACAACTATTATTAACTGAATATTAGCAGGGAATTCTCAAACTTATAAAGGCAGATATGTAAGCCATTAACTTCTAGTTAAGTCCTATGATAGAAGAGAACATATTGCATATTGCAAATATTTCTACTGGATTTCAGGGTTTTTTTTCTATTTTGGCTCCCTTCAGCTCTATTAGAACAAGGCAATAAACTGCGTAATGCTATGGTGATTTCTGCGATGAAATCAAGCCCAGATACTAGCATGTTGTTGGACAAAGTTCATCCTGTGAAGGAAGATTCTCTTACATCATCAACACAGTAAGTTACAAAATAGACTTGAATCCCAACAGTTCATCTCTTAATAGTTATTAATGTGTGTTTTCTATCAAGTTACAAGCTGCATATTCTTAGAAATGTTTAGCAAATCTTAAACATGGTAGGAAAGAAGCCTAAACTAGAAGTTTAAGATACTCAGAATCTAGTCCTAACATCGATACTTGCTAAATATGCATATAAGTTAATTCTTTGCTCTCTCTTAATTAGAATGCATGTATATAAGATGGGGGACATTTTTTCCCTGCTTTACTGAAATAAAATGTGATTCTGTTGTAGGAAAGAGACTTGCAGAGTGTCAGCTTTTACACAGTTAAGACAGTTAAGTCTAAAGTATGTTAAATTTTCTCAGACCAACACCATCTTTTTTTTTTTTGTCCCTGGGATCGAACCCAGGTCTTTGTGCTTGCAAGGCAGGCGGCAGCGGCACTGAGCTAAATCCCCAGCCCTAACCATCTACTTTTTCTTAGCTCAGTTAATTATGACTTAGATTTTTCCCATCTGTTAGCCACTCAATGAAAAAATGTTTTTCTACGTCCTAGAATCAGAGCTTTGTCTACTAGGAATCAACTTAAAGATCACATTGAAGATCATGTCCTCTCTCCAACTGAGCATACATTTGGGAATCATGACGCAAAAACTGATACTAGAGCTATACAGCTGCTATTAGGCAGGTAAGTGCTTGTGTGTGTGTGTGTGTGGCTAGGAATCAGAGTGGTCCTTGCATATGCTAGACATATGCTGAGCTATACCCCCAGTTCCAGATAAGTAGTCTTAACTAGCTTTCTTCCTTTTTAATTCTTTCTCCAGTTCGTTGAGTACAATATGAGATTCATCTTCTTAGAGCAAAATTTCCTTAGACTAACTGTTCCTTAAACTACTACTCATTACATAAAAAGCCAATCTTTATCCTTTTTTATAGTCTTCCCTTACAGAAATGTCTGCAGTCAATTTTCCCTTCTTTTCTCCCAACCCTTTTTCCCACTACCACTGTTAGCATAGGGTGATGAAAATAGCATGAATTTCAAACACACTCAAGTTGAAATTTGAGGTCTGTTGCTTATTAGTGGTATGACTTTTAAGCAGTTATCACAACTTCAGAGACACCAATAAAATTAGAATTATTTATAACCTTGCAAAATTGTTATGAGAATTAGAAATGATGCACATAAAGCAGCCAATACTGTTCTTAACACATAGGTTTGTTTGTTTGTTTTGTACTGGGGATTAAACTCAGGACCTTGCACTTACCAGGCAGGTGCTGTGCCTGAGCTACATCCCAGCCCAATAATTTGTTAGTAACTATTATTGTTAATATTATTACTAATATGTCCTTTCAGACCAGCCTCAATTTATTGTCTCTCAGGTAAGATTCCATACCTGTCCTAGGAAGGTAGTAGGGCATAGGGTTAAAATCAATATGTGCTGAGTTATTGGGGTTTGAGAAAAACATGTTTTTCAGAAACTAAGCTTAGTTTAATTTGGTTTAAGTTTAGAAAGTGGCAAGACTACATAATCTTTTGGTATTTGTTGTAATTACTTCCTTGTCACTGAGACACAATATCTGACACCACAAGTTAAAGGATAAAAGGCTTATTTTCGCTCACATTTTGTAGAGGTTTCAGTCGATGGCTGGCGCCATGACAGGGAGACATGGCAGAGGAGAAACAGGACGGAAACAGCAGCAGCTGTTTATATTCCCTTTATATTCCATCCAGGTTACACCACACCCAGGGTAGGCCTTTCCATTATCCATACCCAGCACTGTATGAAACAAATTAGTGGACTAGTCCAGTACCACATGCCCTTAGTCCCAGTATCACACACAGTAAACCCACCCACCTCTGAGAAGCCCCATCTATGAGTAATAAAGTTTAGGAGAACATCTAGATACAAGTCATAATAACATTTGAATGGCAGGATAGGTCGAGTGAGTAGAAGTATAATGGCAAAGAAGAGTCAAAGCCAGACCTTGAAGGACTTTGAATGTTTATGAGTCTGAACTTCCTATTAGAAATTAGGTAGACTCAATATTTTGAGAAGAATAGCAAGATCAGCCTGGCAACATAAGGAAAATCAACTGGATAGGAGCAATGGCAAAGCATGTGAGTTTTTTTCTCCCTAGTGGAGATGGAGAGATAAGAAATTAAAGGCTAAAATGATATGATTTTATGACTTATTAGCTACAGAAAAGGACAAGAAATTAACAACAAAACAAAACAAAAAAAACCTTAGGGTTTTTGCTCTAGTGATGGGGTGGATCATAATTTTAGAAATAGAAATCTTCAAACATGTGTAGGGCAAGACTTTGAAGATAAGTTCAGATTTGAACCTGTAAATATGTTAAACTTGAGTTGCCTATGAACATTCAAATGTTGTTTAGTAGACAGTAAATATTAATGCACGGGCCGGGATGTAGCTCAGTAACTCTGCCTGCCTGGCAGTCACGAGGTCCTGAGTTCATTCCCCAGTACAGAAAAATAAAAATTAATGCATATGAAGTACATAAAAATACTCAACATCTTTATGTAGAGCAGAGGGCCGGGGATTTAGCCCATAGGTTCCACTGCCTGCTTCACAGGCGCAAGGACCCAAGTTCAATCCCCTCAATCCCCGGTACCAAAAACAAAAAACAAAAAAAAAAGTATGTAGACCAGAAGTTCAAGATAAAAGAATGGCCTAAAGATAAAAATTGGGTATTTGTTTGCTACACTGTAGTAATTGAAACCTTAAGAGTAAACGATCACCCAGGTACCAAAAACAAACAAACAAACAAAAAAGTATGTAGAGCAGAAGCTCAAGATAAAAGAATGGCCTAAAGATGAAAATTGGGTATTTGTTTGCTACACTGTAGTAATTGAAACCTTAAGAGTAAACAATCATTTCATAATAGAATGAACATAAGGATAAAGTACATGTATGTTCTATACCTACTCCTTTTTAAACCTTAATAGGATAATAGTAAAGCAAGAAAAAAGCTATAAAATCGCAAGAGGTTAAAGAAGAGTTGATAGCAAATGAAAGATGTTAATAAAATTTTGGAAGTTAATAAATTAGTTGGATAAGTATAAGTGACTTAGCAAAACAGAAAATAATGCATCAAGCCAGAATACCCTGAGCTGTACCAGTCACCAGTGGAAAAACCTTATGTAAGTTTTAACCGTTTTCTAATTGCAGTTGCTTCATCTGTAAAATAGATACAGATGAAACATACTTTTACAATATATGACATGAGTTCAATGAGTTACTTCCTGTGAACTTCTTAGGCTACTACTTGGCACAGGGAAACTTGTAAATAACTTGGGTATTCTTATCATAATACAACCCCAGAGCTGAGAGACTATCCTTCCTCTGCCTGGTGAAAGACTAGATAGATGTTTATTCTCTGTAGAGCTAGGACTAACAGGTCTCTAGATTCAACAATGTCAAACATAACTGAGGGTAGACGTGAACACCACACTGAAGGAAAGGAGAGTACATTAAAGTCTGCATATGGAATAATGAATACCTTTTCAGCCCTGAACCCTCTTTCCTTCTTGATTCCCAGCACACTTGACAGCCATATTACCTCCCAATAGGAGATCAGACTCTGCTTGGAAACAGTCTGGATTAAGAGAAAAGAAATAGAGATACCAACAATTGTAGCTTTCCCAACAAAATGCTCTAGTTCTTCTCAATTACTTTACAATGAAGCCCACCAGTCAACAAGTTCCCTCTGACTCCCAGTCTGCATATATGGCTGCCAGACAGCATTTCAGAGCCTAATTTTTAATATGACTTCATAGCCAAGATTTATACACGTTTGGGGAATGCTTCCAACATGTAGACGTAGAACATTTGGTAGACGAAGATAAGAGAAAATCCAAGAAAGTTTACCACAGAGAATGGATTTGGGGAACAGAAAAGAAAAAGATAAAATTGAGGTTATTTTCAGGAGATTCAACACTGAAATAATTGAAGTTCCAGAAAGAAAAGATGATAAGGGAAAAAAAAGTAAATTCCCTTGTACTGAAGCTTATTTACTTCCACATATGTGTGTGTTTGTGTATGTATATATGTACGCATATATGTGTATGTACACACATATATGTATATGTATGGGGCAAAAAATATATATCTACACACTTCAAGAAAAGAAAAGCTTGTATAAGTAGGAAATTATTGAGACACTTTGATATTAATACAAGTTACCAGCTGGGCGTCGTGGCGCATGCCTGTAATCCTGGCACTCGGGAGGCTGATTCAGGAGGATCGCTGTGAGTTCAAGACCTGCCTGGGGTACATAGTGAGTTCCAGGTCAGTCTCAACTACACAGTGAGACCTTGTCTCAATTTTTTTTTTTAAAGTTACCTTTGGCACTCAAAGTGGTGGCCATTAGCTTCCAGACATTTATTAGTACAATAAACTGCTGCTTAGACCTTGGTCGTTGAGATTGCTGCACATACATTTTCAATTTCTTCTCTAAGGGCTGGCATTGTAGTGGTTTTTCTGTGATATACATTATCCCCTAGGGTCCCCCATACAAGGGTAACACCATCTGTTGAAACAATATTATACTATTTTTCTTTCCCTGAAGTGTGTATACATTCCTTTGGCAGACTCTGTAGATGTTTGAACCAAGATCCTCCTCTCCCTCTCTACTAACCAAGAAGCCATGAGAACTGTATTCCAGATGGGGGCAGCCAAAAACTTAGAGTTTTACCCTCTTCATCACCCAGTGAGTAGGCCATCTTCCCAGGAGAAGGACATAGCAGGGAAGAATGAAAGAGACTCAAATTACTAGAATTAGAAATTAAAGAGGGAATATTAATACCAATTTTATAGAAATAAAACAATGGAAAGGAATTTATTGAAAATAAAACATTGAAAAGGAATCCTAAATTGTATAACAGTGACGGAGATGGTTTAGATGAAATACACAGAGGCCAGAATGAGTTCAATCCCCAGTACCAAAAAAAAAAAAAAAAAAAAAA